AAGGTGCATTGAAGTGCTTTCCTTTCAGAGAGTATAGGGGACCGGATTTATGGGAAATTAAAATAAGTTAATCGACTTTTTGCATGTAAGTTGTTCATTAATTCCATAAAAAGAGACAAACATTTTTGAAAAATATACAATTATTTTACCTCAGGCTCATAAATTTCACACTCAACACTGACGCTTTCTTCATCGGTTGGAAGGTTGAATAGGGATGCCTTACAGAAGCCCTTGTGCTGAAAAGGCAAGAGAAAGAAAAACTGTTAAAAGATGATGAAGTGGATGAACTGTTATGGTGAACAGCTCCTGAAATTAGACCCAAAATTGTATCTTTTTTTTTTTACATTTTAAAGTTGAAAGTCAATCACCTTTATGAAGATAAAAGTAAAGGAAAAAATAACAATTTGTTATGACTCACAGCAAATTCGCACGTCATGAGGGGGCATTTATCAGCTGCCCCGGCACTATTGGTGCAGGAGGTCTCCTGGATGGTGTACTCCACGTTGTAATACATCCCCATGGCCATCTGGACACACACAGAAAGGAAATGTTTGCCTGGCTGGAATAATAGTGGTTAGAATAATCGCTGATCAGGTAGTGTGACGGAAAGATTGGGATTTGAAGTCATGTTAAGGTTAAGTAACCACGCAGTTGGATTTTGTTCTTGGATTCAGCTCTAAATTGATCTTTTTCAAGTTACATAAAAGGGTCAAATATACACCATTTGTTTGCCTTTTAAACATTTACTTACCCCAGCAGTGGCACGGGAGATTTTGAGAAGAGCAAAACGATTGGTCAACCCACTCTCCTTGTTGAACTTTTCCAGTGAGCGAGTCACAGTCTTCTGAACCTGATCACTGTCTGTATCCATTAGACTTGGACAGTCCGGACACATTTCTGATACCTTAACCGCAGGAACTGAGCAAAATGAAAGGCTGCTTTAAGTACACAATCACAAAATATGTTTTTCATGTTGAGCTTTAAAAGTTGTACTTTCATTAAAACCTTTAAACGTTTTTATTTTGTTCCAAATAATCCGATCTATTTAATCCACTTGTTTAACTACATCAGCACGAAAATAACAGCACCGATGACTACTTAATCCTCACTGCCAGCTCCAAAAGGTAAGAAAATTTTGGGGAAGTTAAAAACAACAACTATGTTCGTCATAAAAAATTAGAAAAATCAAAGCATCTGTTCTTAATCATTGAAAATTTTTAGGATCTTACACAAGATATGGGAAGACGTTGACCGGTCACCTACTGTTGATTCACTTGATCCTATTTACCAGGCAGGCTATGATTCACAGTAGATTCCATTGAGCTTTTATTAAGATCTTCTAAATGAGAATAAATCACAGTAATATAAATCTTTCTGTCCTACCTGGTCGGATCATGCAGTTATATTTGTAGAGACGCACCACTCTGTGCACCTTGTTGATGTAGATGGCAGCTTTACATATTCCGTATACCTGCAAAGACAAATACGGTCCCTCTTACCTTTACAATAAATATCTGTTATCTAATCAAACTTGTCTTTATAGGTACAATGGAAAATACTGTGGTTACTTTTAAGGCAAAAATTTGAATGACTGGTCTTGGAAAAACATAGATGGATGAAAATAAACTGGGAGGACTGATAAGTTTGATAATGTACAAAAGTATGTGAATATGGGTTCTAACCGGCATATCTGAAGTGGGTCGAGCCTCACAGTTCTTCCAGTTCTTCCTGCTGATAACGCTGCAGTTAGTCTCCACAACATTCATTTTCAGATAAAATACCACACCAGTTGGTCCCTGTGACAAAAGCACAGACATAAGTAAAATTAAAAACAACAACAAACAGAATGGCCACACATTATGAACTGTGGAGAAATATTTAGAAACAGCAACACCCCAAATTCCATAAGGTTCAACAGCTAACTTTACCATAGCTTACCCCTCAACTCATCAACTTCCAGGTTTTCCACACAGTCAAAATGGATCTGTCCCCATTAACAGCATTAAAAACCAGACACAATACTTTATCTCTGATCTGGGTGCTTATAAGGATTATTTGTTCAGCAGGCTGGAACCTGATTTGTATCAACTGCATGTTGGATTCCAGAAGATCTTTGGGGAGCGCCTTTGAGCTGGACTTACATGTGTGGCTATGTGGACGTTAGAGAGGCGGTGCAGGCTGAAGATGTAGCCCTCCTGCCGGTCCTGGTTGATCTTGGTGATGGCCAAATGAGCGGCGCTCACCGCGGGTGGAGCGTCGCAGGACTCCGGCTGGAACTTACCCTGCTCCACGGGCGCAGCGTGGACGCACAGGCACCCCAGCACCAGCAACAACAGGACGCGGGTCTGCATTGTAAAGGCCGGCGCTGACTCTCAAACACACCGCCACGCACACACACAGCCGGGGAGGAGAGATACCCAGAGGGGGAAAGGATGATCTTTTATATCCTGCTACTGCGTAGCCACGCTCACTCTCTCTTACACACGTCCATATCAGTACAAAATCCCTACCCCGCAGTCAGATCAGATAAATATAACCTTTGACCCCTGTCCTTTTCCCTAAACATATGGCCCCGCTCTAGGAATGTTTTATCTTATCTATCTGCCAGCCAATCAGCTACTGTATAGCCTTGCACAATGGAGTTCATCGGTCCTGTGGGAATCAATAAGAATAATCAGCCCATTGGAACTCCTTTGATCTACTCTTGGCACCAAGCTTAGTTTAATCAAGGACAACACTGGATTTGAACAACCTCTACAACAGAGAGATTCAGCATTTTATGAATCAGAAATGTTAAAGAGATGGAATTAACTGTGTATTTTTAAATGAATAAAACAACATTGGAATTCCTCAGTTGCAGAGCACCATTTAAACATCCAGCTCCGACAAGTCCGCCTTTGCAACACACATAACTTCTTTAATCATAGTGAGGCATTGTGCATAGCAAACAGAGCAGTTCCAAAAGGTCAGAGAGGTAAGTGGGCAAATAAAAAAACACTCATTCATCGACAGAGAGACAGTATATAATTTCATCCTTGATATGTACAATCAGGAAAACCCGGCACACACTTTTTAATCATGTGCTGATATTCTACTGTTCAATGGTTGAAAGTTTTGGTTGCTTAAAGTCATCCTGGATTGTTTTATACCCTCTTGAGATGAAAGGAGAAAGTGACATGAGGGACAGGGACACATTTTAGCTTCAGCACGACCCTGAAATTTGGAGTTTGTCTCCTCAAAGCTCAACACTAGCCCTTAAGGGAATGAGTTGTTGCTCTTTTGCCGTGAGTGCATCTGACCTTTGTCTCAGCAAAATAAACAAACCAAGAGCCAACCTGCCTTAAAATCGATAAGGTCTTTTGTGAAGCTGTTGCAACTGAGGTACACTTACGTAACAAGGAAGGTTTGTTATGCACGACATTTAGGCCGTTTATCCCTAAGGTTGTGATTTAAATGAATGAATTAAAGATAGATTCTAAAGATGCAATGAATGGGTGTGTGAATGTTTGGTGATGAATATGCTGTTCGAGCAAAAATGCGGTTTACAGTGAACATAATCATATCCAAACTATGTGAAGGACACAAAAGAATGCTCCAGAATGCTCATTTGTAACTGGAAGTACCAGCATAAATATGTGTAAGATAGTCATATAATACTTCTGTGAACAAAATCTGCCTGTACTGTGGAAATCATGAATGCCAAACTGTTTGCTCTTAAACAGCTTATAAAACATTTTGATCAGCTTAATTCAGTCAGTAAAGAATGTTCCGTATGACAGAAGTGCAGTGAAGTTCCTAAATCCCACATGGATTTTGACTTGACTCCTCCATCAGTTCCAGTCCTCCAGGTGTTAGTGGATGCTTGCAGGCCTTAGTAACGGCTTCTGAGCAGCTTCCGGACACTACAGTCCACCACTAAAACCATCTTTTCTGTTCGGGACAGACAGGATTTAATAAAATTTGGCATTGTATTTAGAAGTTATAATGTTTAATTTCTTTACAACCCCCCAAGTTTGAGATATAATAAAGACTAAGGAGCTCCGACATACTTTTGTATTAACCACTACGGAAACATACAGAGTTATATTGCGAACTACCAATGCTGTTCTTTTAGGGTAATTGTTGCATAAACTGGGTGGTGGCGGATACATTTGTAAACACCTGTAGCTCTGCATTACACTGGATTTTTGGGCAATTGTCCATCTGTGCACTAATCCAAATCATTTACTGTATGTATCAAAACAATAGAATCAGTCTTCTCCCAGATCAGTTTAAATAGAAAGGGACACACAATACAATGACTATTTTTCATGTGACGTTGCAGTTATTCTTAAAAAGCTGAGTGACAAATGGTGCGTCCACAGGGGTGCAATCATGCCGTCATTCGGCCCCACCTCAGGGTTCAAACGCACTGGTGGCTATTTTTCATAAAGTCTCTGGGATCAGCAAATGCTAATAGTTCAAATTTTCACCGTCTGCTTGGGGCTATATCATTGCTCATGCTACTATATGAGGATCTTTGTTCAGTGACATGAAAAACAAGGAATGCAGCAACAGTTGGTATCTTGTCATTGGTCTTCGATCAGATCTGACTCAATCAGTCTGGAGTAACTGGAACTGACACAGAAAACCGATATGACCCGATTCTTCTGGTGATCACGTCACATTTTTTTTCTCTTGTTTTTGTTTTTTCTCTGTTTACTGTTTGCAGAAAATGTATCTTTTTTGTTGACTCTGCTCCTGTAAAACAAATTGTACTGCAAAAGCTTAAAAGCTTTTATGCACACACTATTTGACCACTCGAACCACTCTTAACAAATTACATATATTCACATGATTTAAATCCAAATCACCTGCACATTTTCAGCATTGATATAGTTTTTTTGCTACACTTTTCTTTACATTTTATCAGGAGCAGTTTGGCTATTTGTTGCCTCAGTTGTGATGCAAATTTCAAAATGATTAAAAGCATGAGGGGGTTAATTTTAGCGAGTGTAGAAAGGCTCTTTTACATTAAAAAAATATAACAATGTTTTCATAAAGCTTAATGTTTAATGGAGCGTTCACTATCTTATATCAAACACAAGATGGCGCTGCACTATAATGTAATGTCAGACCAACACAAATACAGGAATTGTTTTATTTACAGGTTTCAAAGCATGCTGCAGAGAAAGCCCCCGACTCCATTTATGGTTACATTACTCGAGCCAAAGTTGCTGTTCAGTGAACGACAGAAATATAAACAGAAACATATTTCAGGAAGTGTACAAAATTGTGTCAAATACACAGCAAAATTGTTTGGCTATACATCCATCACCACATGTGAGCGCTTTTTTTGAGCAGGGTGGTGGATTTCTAAACAATGATTCATAAATGAAGGCTGTCAGCAGTGCCGGAGACAAATTATGAGCTCAGGAGAAGATGAGGAACAACTGTGGCTCTTGGAACAGAGTCATGACGGAGAAACAGTTAATTTAATCTGGGCTTCAGGTCTCATTTCAAACATAGGGAGTAGATCAAGAACTCTTCTGCATGCCCAAGATCTGGGCAGATTTGGTCTTCATAGCTGTTTGTCACATGAGAAGCTCTACAGATGAGAGAAGAAATATGTTTACAAAATCCTTCTGGTTTTTTTTTAAGAACATTGGATTTTTTGGGGGGGTAAATCCCTTAATGTTTGCACGTGATTTAATGTGATGAATACTGCAACAATGTTTACAGT